TATCTGCATATATTAAGTCCAGAAATTCCTTTAAAATATTTACTTTTATTGTTGTATTTTTATGCAATAACAGGTCATAAGATATAAATCAATTTCAATTTCCTTTGTTCATGTACTGTTACCTGGCAAACATTTGTTTACTCGAATTCTGCCGAATACCCACAAGGAAAAAAGAATACTACATTTATTCAGTTTAATTTCTATCTGCATATATTAAGTCCAGAAATTCCTTTAAAATATTTACTTTTATTGTTGTATTTTTATGCAATAACAGGTCATAAGATATAAATCAATTTCAATTTCCTTTGTTCATGTACTGTTACCTGGCAAACATTTGTTTACTCGAATTCTAGTAGTTGTGCCTCCTCTTTAAGAGCTTCATATTATTCCACTGTACCATGTGACGTCAAGGTGACACAGCCAATAGGAAAGAGTCCAGGGTGCAGATCAGAGAGAACAGGTAGCAACCCAGGTGCTCCAGCTGCCCAAGATGTGGAGGCCTTTGGAGAAAGACAAAACAGCAGCATGGCAATCAGCCCCAGAAAAGGACTGGAGTCCATTGGATTTTAGGCTCCGGCCTGAGAAATAAAGATCCATCATCACGATTTTAGTGGGAACTTCGTGGACTGTTGATAGGACAAGCCTCTTTGGCGTTTTCTCTTTTGAAGTGGCTCGCCCCACCCACTTCTCTCTCACATTCTTCTTTCCCATGGACTTGGAGGATCACTGTTCCTGAGTCATCATTCCTTTGCGTCTTATGTAGATCCCGCGCCCTCTCACACTGCTGCTTTTATTTAAATAGCAATTTCATTTACTTTGGGGTTTGCTCTGGGGAGGGTTAGGCAGTCAGAGCCCGGAAACCAGGTTTTTCAGAGTGGAAATCAGCCTTGACAGCTCCCGCAAGATCGTGAAACTCAGAGCAGATGCTGAGCTGCCAGCCTGTGTTTTGAAGTTATCTGATTAGAGCTTCTTGATTAAAACGGAAACTATTTGAGAAGTCACCAGGAGTCTTTTCTTATGGTAATTCAGCCTCTAACTGCTGCACACAGCTTTGCACAGTTATCTTCCTTCAAAACTGCACACTAGCCGTCTTCTTCTCTCCGCTAAGCTATGAATGACCACAGCAGAATATTTCGCATCTTCGGCTCCATTTGCGCCTTGACTGTGATGCTTCCGTTTTCATTGTAACCGCAGGAGTAGAAAACAGAATGAAAGGGCAGCCCCTTAGGAAGCCTGACCTAGTCCCTCCCTCCTTGCTCCAGCCCCCTTCCTTCCTCTCAGCTTCTTAACTCAATATAGAATTGTTTTCTTCACAGTATCTGATGTACATATTCTTAGATTTATAGCTATCTAACCATTACGGTTCTATTGCAAATGATTCTGTTATTTTAATTTCAATTTCCAATGGCTACAAATGCATACTTTTTTTGTTTTGTGACCTTTTTCTTGGTAGCTTTTTGTAATAGTTTGTGTGATACTTTCAAAGTAGAAAACTTAGGTTGCGTTTATTTTGTTTGGGGTTTTGTCCCAGTTTTGAGACAGGATTTTGCTGTGTAGCCCAGACTGGTTGAGATTTACAGTCTGTTCCTCAGTCTCCCCGGTGCTCAGTTACAGCCTGTGGTGCCACACCCAGTGACCAAGTAGGCAATATTTTTAGTAGTATTTTGAACAGCCTCTATGTAAATTATGATGGTGTTTACAAACACTGGCTTCTTGCCTCCCTGGCAATCTTTATGACTCTTTATCTTTTTTGAAAAATTTAGGAACTTCAATGATGCTTAATAGGAAATACTGAGAATAAATATCATCTTAACCCTGCCTTGGCTCTGTAACCATTAAGCATGAGATTAGCAGGATTTTTAATTGTTGTTGATTTCCTGAGACAGTCTCTCTCTCTCTTGAAACCAGATTTGCCTTGAAGTTGCTTTGTAGTCAACTCTGGCCTCCAACTCACATTCCTTCTGCCTCTGCCTCCCAAATGACGACATGATATACCTGTGTTGCCCTGCCCGAGTAGCAGGAGGTTCTTAGAGATTCTCTTTAGAAGGTGAATGAAGTTCACATCAATTAAGGGCTAGAGTTTGGTTCCCAGTACTCACACCAGGCAGCTCACAACCACCTATAACCCTAGCCCTAGGGGATCTGACATCCTCTTCTGATTTTCCACAGGCACCTGCATATACATGACAGATAGTCACACAGACATACATGCATATACATAAATAAAAATAAATGTAAAAAGAATTAATTGGTTTTGTTTTTGTTTGTTCTGTTTTTGTTTTTTGTTTGTTTGTTTGTGGTTTTTTTTTGGTCTTTTTGAGACAGAGTCTCCCTCTAGCCCCAGTTGGCCTGGAACTCACTATTGAGACCAGGATGGCCTTGAACTCACAGAGATCAACCTGCCTCTGCCTCCCTAGTGCTGGGATCAAAGGTGTGCACCACCACGCCCGGCTTTAATTGGTTATTTTTGTTGGAGACATTTGTAATGGAGGCAGATATTCTTTTATAATTTCCTTTTTATTTAGGCATTGTGAAATTATGTGTTCTTTAATTTTGATTCAAAGAAATTGAAATAATTATCCATTTTTCTTCTTTATGAGCATGAAACATTCTTTATGTCATTTATAATTTCACTACATAAAAAATTGATAGAGCAGAAACATATCAGCTTCTATGCACAAATCAAAGCCTTTAAAACAAAATATTAGTCTAAGATATATATATATGTACATACTTTTTAAGTTTTTATAATTTTATTAGAATTTTAAAGAAAAAGAAATCCTCAGGGCAGATGAGTTGGTAATCTTGGCAGCTGCCTTGAGGAGGTCAGACACGTGGCTGACTAGCAGCCATATGGCCGGGAGAAGGAAGCTTTAGAGAAAAAGTAAAGAAATGCAAGATGCTAGGGGCAGCCCAAAGCATATTTAGTAAGAAAGGCATGAAGAAGGAAAAGGGAAATTAGGTTCCCTGAAGAATTCAGGGAAGCGGGCAACTCACAGACTCCATGGCTGTAGCTGAGAAGTTCTGCCAGTTATATTTATTTTTATATCAGTAAAGTAAATCTAATTCTGAAGACTAATTTGTAAATGAGTAGGTTTCTTAATTCTTTATTATAGAAAGGAATTCTAAATTTAAATTCTTGATAAATATAAAACCTATAAATTTATATTTTAAAATATCATCAGATGTGATGAGACCCATGTATGCGGATCAGTAAATGGCATTTATGAACTACACTCTCCTATATATATGGAGAGTTAAACGAGAATATTTCCAGATGTGCTGTCTTGTTTGAAGTCACAGTGATGACATAGAGACTAGGCTTAGATAATACCTTCTAAACTGTACAAGACTTACTAGATTTGGATTCATTGGGATTCAAGTACAAATATATGGTGTGTGTGTGTGTGTACGTATATATGCAGCCTGAGTGTGTGGAAGTAGGAGGCATGATTTCTTTGGTGTCATGTGATATCTGTTGTCTTGATTCATTTGATCTATACTCAAAATTGATACATAGGGAGAGAGTATTTGGTAAAACAGATGGGTCTGTCCAGACACCAGCGCTGCGTCCAGACATCTCTGGGATCCCTGGGCTCTGCTATTCAGCACTATTTTCCCACCACCAGCTACACTCTGGTGTGCAACTCCCCCACTATGCATGAAAGTCAGTAGAAAGACATTCATGAATGAAAGTTCACAGAGTGCGTATGAGCTGCCTCCTAACCACTGTGGTTACAGGTAAAATGAGGCCTTTGTGTTGCCTGCTACTCTTTTTATATGCTGATAGAATATGTTTGGTTTTAGGTTTCCTCAGGAGCTAAACATGGGAAAGGTCAGCGCAGAAGTCATGTGGTCTCTTTTTGCTCTCGATATGAAATTTGCACTAGAGGGTGAGTACCAGCATCTGTACGCGCTAGACATGCACTGTAAGTGTAATTAGCACATTGAAACACGGATAATTGTGTTTGACCTAGTTGTAAAACATATTCCAACATGGCAGAAGATGAAGCTCTCAAAGTGTTTAAACGTTCTAAAGGGGGCTGGAGAGATGATGGCTCAGTGGCTCTTGCAGAGGACCTGGGTTCAGTTCCCACACCCATCTGTAACTCCAGTTCCAGGGATCCAATGCCCTATTCTGGCCTCCAAGGGCATTGCACACATGGGTGCAATTAGATACATGCAAGTAAAATGATCACATACATAAAATAAATAAACCTTTTTTAAGTTCCAAAGGAGAATACATTTCTACCTGTAGGTAAAGTTGCAGTATCAGAATGTATGTACTACCTGAATGTTGTCATTGTTGAAGCAGGAGAGCTCTGGGGGTGAGGGGTCATCTACCAGAGCAGACCATGTTTGAGGGAGGATGAACAGTATTGTTCCAGATGTTTGCCTCCACGGACTTGGGAAATAGCAAATTCTGACCAACACCCACACAAGGTCTATAGGAAATGTCTTCACCAGGAACTCCATTCCCACCCATTCCTAATTAGAGTGTAGAGCCAGAGGAACCATAAACTAGGCTGCTGTCCTGGAACACACAGCTGAGTGGGGACATTTCTGCAGACTTACTCAGTAAGTAATTATCATTGCCCTCAGTGTGTGGGATACCAGAGTAAGGTGCCCCCCTCCAAGACTGGAATAGAACAACCAGCATCGCTACAGGTACAGTTTCAATATAAAGTGCTGAGAGCTGGGGAAGATGCTCTAAAATCAGCATTGAGGCAGAGAGACAAGAAAACTTGCAAGGTATTTGTAATGAAAGGTTTTCTTGACAAAGACTTGAACAAGAAAGACTAAGAAAAGATCTCCTGGTAAAGGATAGAGGAGAAATAGAGTGAACACGGGTGTATTTGAGAAAAGAAAATTCAGCTCATAGTAAAAAGTGAGTTTGGAGAGGCTGGTAAGGATGAGTTTATAAGGCAGGTGGAGAGGCCTGTGGGGATGAGTTTATAGGGCAGGCAGAGAGGCCGATGGGGATGAGTTTATAGAGTAGGCGAAGAGGCCAGTGGGGATGAGTTTGTAGGGCAGGTAGAGAGGCTGGTGGGGATGTTTACAAGGCAGGTAAAAAGGCTGATGGGGATGTTTACAGGGCAGGTGGATAAACTAATCAGATGGTTACAGGCCAGGTGGAGTATGGTGGGATGTTTATAGGCCAGGTGGGCCACAGGAAGAAACTTGACTGTGCTAAGTGAAATGGCAAAGCCTTGTCTTATCCATGTGTGCACCTCAGAAAAGTGTTTTGTGGTTTGTAAGATGGACCTGTAGGATCAGCACACAGCCCGTGGTCACTGTGCTGCTGCGCCTCAGCTTTGCTGAAACATAAGCTTGAGTCGGTCAGAAGGAGGACACACAGGCACTTTCCTTATTTGACAAACCTGATACACAGTAGTTTATAAATTGGTATCTGGTAAAGTCAGCATCTGCCACCTACAACTAGAGAGATTTATCTAATCTTTAAAATCACACCTGCACAGCTCACAGATACAGACTCCTCACTATAAACCAGGAGTTCCTTCAGCAGCATGTGGCTGACCCAGCTTTCCCCCTTCTCTAGTCATATCCTTTATATCACCCTGATTTAACTGACTCTCAGGGATCCAAAAGCACTCTTAAAAATTGGAGAGCAACCACCAGTCCACCAAGCCGCTGAGATGCACCAGGCAGGACCTATCCCTGAGGCCTCTTCCACACACACTTGAGCTCCCTTCCAATGCTACCGAATTGGAAGTAGAATGTTCAGTCTCCTCTATCAGCACCTGCCTCTTCCACGGCAGCTCTTGGCGGAGCATTCATCCAGTGATCCAAGCCCACTGAGCAGTGTGGGCATTGACTTCCTGTGGACTTCACCACATGGGTACCACACGGGCATCAAGGCGGCCCGCCTACCTGGCTTCTGGTCCCACCAGCCTTCTCACACAGTGTTTAAGCTTCTTCTAATGTTACACCCTCAGAAAAGACTTCCCATGACACAGTAGCCATAGTGATTTAGGAGCAATTTATTTTAATCCTCTGCATAACAACTAATGATTCTCTCCATGCACTTATCTGTCCATGCATTCATGTCTGTTCTTTTGGTTATTCACTATGTATTTTCCTCACCACAATATAAACATATGATCTTTGCTGACAATATATGTATGTGATCTAGAATGATCAATAGAAAATAGAACATTCAATAAATAAGACTTGAGGAGGCTACCCTCAAGCAGTAGAAATGACCTTGACAATGTCCATCTCTGCTCTTGGGACCAGGGAGTGGGCAAGGTGACTCTGTCCCACACTCCAGGGAAATGTGATGATTAATTCAGAGCCATTCCAAGATGCCCTTGCCTCCTGGTGTGTCTCCATCTTTGCTTACAGAGAAACTACTGAAATAGTTTTTGTTCTTGTTCTAGTTAGCCTTAATTGTCAACTCAACACAGCCTAGTGGTATCTGACAGGAGAAGCCTTGAAGGATTTCCTAGATCAGATTGACCTGTGGGCATGTCTGTGGGGGATTGTCTTGATTGCTGATTGATGTGGGAGGGCCAAGCACTCACAGTGTTGGTGGTACCATCCTATGTAGGTCATCCTGGCCTATTAAAAAATAATAAAGCTAGCTGAGCATGAGCCCGTGAGGAAAGTAGGGAGAAGCCTTCCTCCATGGTCCCTTCCCTGACATCCCTCAATGATGGACTGTGCCCTGGAAGTGAAAGGCAATAAAACCTTCAGTTGCTTTTGGTCATGGTATTTGTCATAGCATCAGAAAAGAAGTGAGAACAGTTATCCTTACTTACAAAGAAGCATCCGTTTTAGACAAGCACATTTAACATATATGCTAAAAATATAAAGCTTAATGTTTTAATATATTTAAAGCAGTGAAGTTAGAAATGCTATAAGTAAAGCTTCTTTGGCTTTGGATCGGAAAGTTACTAATTATTGGTTCATGATTTCATGCTCAGTACAAAATCAGTAACCCCAAATGCTGAGATTTTCTCATCAAAACCAAGCCCGAGATGAAGCAGTAATTAATATTTCATAGGTTCCTTAGCCTTTGAGAATAAGAATCTTCTGAGTAAAAAATTCTATTTACTTCACATATTAAAATTTTTATTGATATATAATTCAGGTATTTAAGCATATAGTTCAATAGTTAATGCCTTTGTACATTTGTAAATATTTTCTGGAAGTTATACATAGCAAAGTAGGGGAATAGCATGTATTATAATCCATGGCTTATGCATCTTCTATAACGGGACAGGGCTTTTCATTGTACCAGGATTGGATTTATCATCTTGTATTCACCAAACTTTAATAGAAATTTGTGTGTGTTGTTCATTTGAGACAAATAGGGCCATCCTGTAGCCAGAGCTCTTTACCATATTGCAACTGAGCATATGTAGAATTGCAGACTTAGAGACAATAAAAAATTTGAGAGTCTGGGCACACAGTGAAGAAAGGTTAATGACTTACTAGTTTATAAGTTTGAGCAATTACCATACACCCTCTCCTAGAAAATAGTGGTAATACCTTACAGGTTGTTTATAAAATAAAATTATTCTTTTACTTATTTATTTTTAATTTGTGTATATATGCCATGTGTGATGCATGTGCAGGTACCCATGAACACTGGAAGAGGGTGTCAGATCCCCTGGATCTGGAGTTACAGGTAGTTGTGAGCTGCCCAACATGGGTGCTGAGAACTGAACCTGGGTGCTCTGGAAGAGCAGGGGGTGGTCTTAACTGCCGAGCCATCTCTCCAGCCTTAAAATTATTCTTTAATACACCTTGCAAATTCTGAAGTACAGTGATACCTTATAGAGAATGCTTCAGTAACTGCATGAGGGATGAAGACCCCTCAGATCCTCAGAGCTCTTCCTTTAGGGGATGGTCACAGTTACCTTCTAAAATAAATGTTACAAACACACAACGGTTTGGTCACTGTCTCTTCCCTTTTTCCACTTCAATCTTGTGTCTTCAAGAACTTTCTATTTTGCATGTGGCAAAATAAGGACTGAGGGCATCTCAGAAACTGAAGGGTTTATACTTCAAGCCATTCCTCTGCAGGGTCTTTGCATGTTGATAGTAATGTTCTTACTCTGCCTATATGCCTCATAGAACACTGTTAAAATTAATTGACTGTGGAACACTGCTTCAAGCCACTGACCTAGAAAGATTGTGTTGTTCTTACATAATTTGCCTTGTGATTAAAGTATCTGAGTATGACTGGGGAGCCAGGTCAACTGAACAGGGCTGGTTAGGGCTTACGGACTGGCTGCTTTTTGAAGCAGCTTTTAGTTTTGCTTCATGAACTCATAAGCTGCTAATTAAAAAGGAAAGCAACTTTGTCCCCAACTTTGCTCAACCTATAAGAGCCAATGTTTTGAGTCTTTGTGTTTGACATAAATCACCTTCCAAATTTAATAAACAATAATCAAGTCCATTTCTGTGGACATAAAACTTGTTGAATGAAGGCATGTGTTAGTCAGACTTTCCATTGCTCTGACAAAATATTTCACTTCCATCAGCATGAGGGAAGAATGATTTATTTTGGCTCATGGTTTCAGAGTGGTTGTGGAGGGAAACTGCAGGAAAGCAGATCACTCACATCATGGGGGTCAGGAAGCAGAGAGAGAGAAGGTGGGGCTAGCTGGCTTTCTCCTTACCTTTCATCTATCACCCCTCATCACCAGCTTTTGGGGATGGTTTAAACCAGATTCAGGGTGGAGTGGGTCTTGCCCACTTCCCTCATCCTCTTGGGAAAAGCCCTCACAAATACAACCAGAGGAGTGCATCCCTAACTGGCACATTTGGTCCAATTCAATCAACCAAGGCTGTCACAAACCGTAATCATCTTCTGTATGTGAAAGAAATCATGTACTTAGTGTGAGAAAAGGGACCACTGCAA